AATCCTAGTTGGATTCTGATTAGCAGACAGTTTGAGTTTAATTCGTTTTTGTGTCAATTTTGGATTCCTTTTCATATTAGATTGTAATTGGAACTTCTTGAAGACTTCTTAGTGTTCACTAGGTCTGTTTAAGCCATTTTAATTCGTTGTAATTAGCAGGTTATGTTCAATCCAATACAAACTAGAGTTTGATTCACAAGTTTGTTGCTTCGTGAGTTTGAGAGTGGTTTAAGGAGAGACCTAGACGGCTTGAGTGCTTGTAGCGTTCAGCTAACCCCGCTAATTGTGGCCAGGCTTCTACTTGTATTTTTCGAGCCTTTCTCCCTTTGTGAGGATTGCACGAAACTTCCACCCCACACAAGAACACCAAGCCCTGTTTTTGTGTTCTCTATTAGCCGAATTCAATCTCTCTTGGGATTAGAATTCATCCAACCTTTTTTGGGGCTTATCAATCAATGAAGCTCTTCTCCTCTCTTCTCTTCTCTTCTCTGCTCTTCTCTTCAAGACCCTAAGCTCTTCTCTTATAACATTAAACTCATCAGTGAATTGACAAATATCGATTACTTTTTTGCTATCACAATATTCGTGGACATCATCATTTCATTGCTCGATAATACTATCTACTAGTTAATGTAACACCCTACCCTATACGTTTTGCCTAATCATATTGTTCATACAATTGCAGCGGAATTAATCTCGGGTGTTACATTAATTATCAAAATTTACCCAAATAAAATTTTGATATAAATTACTCGCGTAATGGGCTAATAGTTCTTGCAACTTATCCTGCAAAATAATTCATCACAAACATATATACTCACAACCATATGAATTGGCTTTTCTTAGCCATATTCACACTTTTCATGCTCCACAACTGCATACCATACTTATACATACCATAATCGTCAGAACTTACACAGTTACACAACATATACACATATCATCAACTTTCCACACCTTTGGATATCTCACACTACATCAGAAGCTAGTATGCACATGAAAAACGTTCTCAAAACATTTTTTACAAAAAGGTGTGGATCACTGGCCAAAATCCCAAGTAGTCGTCCAAGCACAGAATAGTTGAAGACCATACCTCATCTTGGCTTCAACTATAGCTCCTCTCCCACCTAACACTTATCTACTGCAGCTGATGATCTACTTACACATAGCATAAGCAGAGAAGAAGAATAAAAGAGGCATAACACTCAACCATCTTGACTTATGCATATGCATCTTATCATGTTTTACTTATAGGCGCCTGGCTACTCCCATGCTAATAACTCTCCCGGGAAAAATACCCCACATCCCGTCGGATGTAGTCATACATACCCCAACATCCCGTCTGATGTGGTCATACATACCCCACACCACTATGGGTGTAGTCATACCCCGACACCACTCTGGGTGTGGTCATATCTCATCAGAATTCTTCAGTCACCACCACATTAGAGGTGTGACTATCATACATATCATAATAGAGTAATAGCATAGGGAGCCTTATTTACAATGTAGTTGACCGTGAGACCACAACACTAATATTTGCTATCCTTATGCATGATTCATATCTCATCTTGCTTAATCATAATTCATTACTTGCACATGTACTTGACCTGACCATAATTGGCTCAACATAGGTAAACCAGGAGTCGTATAGTTGCACTTCCTCGGGATAAACCCTGGTGCAAGTCATCCTCCTTAAAACATCATAATATCACCCTGGGAAGTTTATTTCCCCTACTTGTGAATCCAAAAACAGCCACAAATGGCAACATGTATGCAATCATCAGTATAAACAAGGTCCATATAGATTAGGGCAACTCAATAATATCATACAACAGTCCAGGGTTCAACATATAGCACAAAAGTTCATATACCCATAATCATGCCATTCTAGTTCACCTAAGTCAATTCTAAGCATCAATAAAATTATCGTGATACGACAAACCCGGTATGCCGTGCTAATCCCTCACCAGTTCTGGTCGTTCAAACACCGGTTTAACCTTCCCGTACTAAAACGTAAATTTCATGAACAAACTACAAATTAAAATCCGAGACCGTCCTAATATCCCCTGTAGTATCCCCGTCAATATTAGTTCTAGGCTCCGGGTCAAATTCTTGATAAAAACACATCAAACCCTGGCCGGAGCTAAATTCAAGGATTTGGACCCCGACCAAAATAATAGCCAAAATTCATGGATTAGAACCAGAGGATTAATTACCTCGCTGCAGGAAGCTTGTATATGAAATCTAGGCTTAATCCGGCTTCCGGATACTCCGAAACCCTAATTTGGCTTATCGGGAATTGAAGAAATTCCTGAACCAAAAACTCGTTTTAAAGCTCTAAATCGATAAATCACGATGTATAGATGAATTAGGCATTACTTACGGGATTTTTGGACTTCTGGAACTCAAGAGTCAAGCTTTGGAAAATTCTACCCAGCGTCCCCTGAACTTTCTCCGCTCGCTCTGTGCTCTCGGTCCGGAAATGATAAAAGGAAAATGATGATGATGGAATAAAAGGGACGGGTGAATTAATACGTATACTTATCCGATCGATTGATAATCCGATTTTCTCCAAAATACTATCAAAACGCTCGATTTTAAATCGTGAACTTTCTAGCGATCGAAATCTGGATTTTGCTGGAACGAGATGTTACAGTTAAACTCTAAGTAGTACACTATAAATGGTAATAAGAATTACAAAGCTCCTTGCACTCCATTATCAGACTTCTTTTGTGTTATTTTTCGGCACAAGATTGTAATTGGAGCAAGTTAGGGTGTCTTCCGGGAAGTCTTTTCTCCGCATAAAAAATGGAAGTCTTTGCTCAATCTAGGTTCCAATTTCCTTTCCTCGATGTCTTTCTCATTTAAATCCTTTTATTAGTAAAATACATAGAGTACTGGATGGTACTGTCATGGAATTGATTATGCATGTAAATTTGATTAGAAAGAGGACATAACCACTTTCCCAATTCATAATACAAATGAAGGAACATCGTTTGTACATGAATCCTTATCAGCTCCATCCAGGACCCTTGGATACATAAATATTCAGCTTTTATAGCTTAATAGGGAGATTACCCACAATATTTATGCTAGGAGCACTATTGATTCTGATATGATCCTAATAGGGTCAATCATTGATCGAAAATTACTTACCAAAGAAGCTATCAAGGTTGGAAAGAAGAAGGGCAGAATTTGGTTAAGTATACAGACAGTTTCAATGTACCAACTTTGGAGGTATGGTTCTCTTAATTGGCTCAATGAAAATTGGTGTTTGATAGCTTGTTTTGAACATAAACACTTTATCTATAAGTTGGTATGCTTGGTGGCTCAAGAGGAAGTCCAGAAGGTCATTTGCCAGACGTGTAAAAATGCTATTAAGAATTCTGGAAACTGCCAAGATTTGACTAAGGCAGAAAACAGTGTTGAGATACCAACTTTGAAGGCCTATATCTGGAGTTTGGAGCATGATCTCAGTCTGCTTCAAGTTGGAGGTGAAACAGGAAGTTTTATTCTACAAAGGCAAGGAATTGGTTGAATTCGAATCAACCTAGAAGACCATTTTCTAAGGGCTCAAAAATGCTATGAAGCCTGTTTTCCTAGGAGGACTTGCTTGCGTTTTAAGTCAGTTTCTTGGCCAGCAAGTTACCTTGTTTTGAACGAACTATTTAGCCTTTTTCTGTTCTAATTAGTTTCCTAGTTCTATTAGGTTTTTATTGTCTTTAAATAGCATTCAATTTCACGTTGTAAAGCATCCAAGTTTTAGTTGAATGAAAATTGCTCCTTTGTGAGAATTGTGTTCTTTGAGAGTTCTCAAGAATCAAACCCTTGAGTTATTCATGTGAGGAATTCCATTGCTAATTCGAGAACCCTTGTGAGGCTTTTCTGTGAGGATTCCAGATTCGTTTTACAAGTTTCTTATCAATCAAGTAATCACCTTGATTGTGGCGAAATTCTACCTATCCGTTTTATCTTTCGTTGAAGAGTTTTGGCTGCGTATTCTGATCAAACAAAGCAGCCCCCCTGGTGCTTTATCAAGTGGTATCAGAGCTTCCGGTTCAAATCAGTGGTGGTTTGTTCTTGACGACTCTGTTTTCAGTGCGTCAAACAATGGTGTTCGAGGAGCTAGCACGTTCGATGGTATTCACGCATTGTTTAATCGAGCAGCAACTGTGCTTGGCTCTCGTTGATGGAGGCAGGGAGAGGAATTTGATTTCCTCTAGGGTTGTGAGCAAGCTTGACCTGCAAACACAACCGCTTACGAAACCATACACGTTTCAATCGCCATACGACGAACGTTCAAATCTCGTATTTTCCCAGGTGGCTATGAAGTTTTCAATCGGCCAATACGAGGATCAAATTACGTGTGATGTGATCTATAATCTTCCCAGCAGCATCATTTTGGGGCAACCATGGTTCAGAGAGCGTCAAGTTGGTTTTGCAAGTCGACGGAGCAAGAAGTTTCGAATTCGGAGTGGAAATAAGGTGTTTGTCGTGAATCCGTTGGCTCCAGAAGCAACTGCTGACAACTTGAAGGAGCTGCAACGACTACAGGAGGAGTATCAGAGGGATTTACTGGCAAAACCGTGGTCGTGGATTGTCAAGAAAGCAACGACTCCGATCAGAGCAGAAGAACTCTGTTCGTCGACGGCAGAGCAACGTAGAGAAGAAGAAGACTCGAGCAATGACGTGGGGGAAACTTTGAGCAAACCCAATTCATCTGCAACGATATTTGACCTCCCAAGAGTGGATTTGCCAGAAGAAATCGACCCAATTCAGGTCGCTACGTCGAGCTCAATCCAGGCTGTACACCCCTGTTTTTCGACGTCGACGCAGTGGAGGAGAGAGACTGAATCGGTTGGAGCAGATGGAGCCAACCCAGGTCGAGCTAGAGACCTCGACACAGTCAGTGAGATGACGTGAACGTGTCGTGCTGTTCAATTGGAGTTGAAAGGCGTCGAAGACGAAACGCCCAATTCGGAAATTTCAACCCAAAACGTGACGCAAACAGAGACGAAGAAGGTTGAATGGGTTGGGGTGATTGGGCGAGCTTCGACCCAAATAAACGATGTGCAATCATTCGTGGCAGCTCCAGGAAGCTATTTGAATGATCAATTGGAGCTGGGGATGATCGAAAAGAAAACACCCAAAATGGAAATTTTTGGCCGAAAGTTTGATGAAGAACAGAACGCATCGATTGGAACGTTTGGGAGTGAATCGATCGACACGAAGGGTGTGGACAAGTTTCTAGTGGTCCGAGGAAGGCATCAGAATGCTCAATTCATCGTGGATATGGCGGGATTGAAAACGCCCAAATTGAAATTAGCCTCACCGGAAACTGGTTTTCTCTCGCCGGAATCTGGGTTGGGGACGCCGGAATCTGGGAATTCAAACGGTGCGGACGGCGGGAAATGCGTTCTTTGCAATTGGTGTCGAATCGAGCGCAATCGAACCTTGAGAACGGAGGTAATCGATTCATGGAATCCAGGCGACGCGAAAGGAGGCAATGAATTTGAACAGGATGGCGCAGAGCAGAAACGCCCAAATTCGCCGAAGTCGCCGGCAACCTCGACATCGCCGGATTCTGGATATAGTTCGCCGGATTCTGGAATTTTTAGAATTTCGATCCTGGATGCAATCAAGCACACTGATTGCGTGGGTAAGGTCCATCGGAGCCCTACGAATCTACTGAAACTCAAATCGTGGAGAACAGAAGCCCATTTCCGAGCTGAAGAAGAATTTGACGTTCAAATTTTTTTTGCCGCAAAGTGTGTTTGAGCAGCCCTCTTTCGATCAACTTTGGGAGCAATTCTGTGATGAATTTGAGAAGAGGCCCGAACAAGCTTTGAGGACAAAGCTTTTTGAAGAGGGGGAGCTTGATATGATCCTAATAGGGTCAATCATTGATCGAAAATTACTTACCAAAGAAGCTATCAAGGTTGGAAAGAAGAAGGGCAGAATTTGGTTAAGTATACAGACAGTTTCAATGTACCAACTTTGGAGGTATGGTTCTCTTAATTGGCTTAATAAAAATTGGTGTTTGATAGCTTGTTTTGAACATAAACACTTTATCTATAAGTTGGTATGCTTGGTGGCTCAAGAGGAAGTCCAGAAGGTCATTTGCCAGACGTGTAAAAATGCTATTAAGAATTCTGGAAACTGCCAAGATTTGACTAAGGCAGAAAACAGTGTTGAGATACCAACTTTGAAGGCCTATATCTGGAGTTTGGAGCATGATCTCAGTCTGATTCAAGTTGGAAGTGAAACAGGAAGTTTTATTCTACAAAGGCAAGGAATTGGTTGAATTCGAATCAACCTAGAATACCATTTTCTAAGGGCTCAAAGATGCTATGAAGCCTGTTTTCCTAGGCAGACTTGCTTGCGTTTTAAGTCAGTTTCTTGGCCAGCAAGTTACCTTGTTTTGAACGAATTATTTAGCCTTTTTCTGTTCTAATTAGTTTCCTAGTTCTATTAGGTTTGTATTATGTTTTTATTGTCTTTAAATAGCATTCAATTTCACGTTGTAAAGCATCCAAGTTTTAGTTGAATGAAAATTGCTCCTTTGTGAGAATTGTGTTCTTTGAGAGTTCTCAAGAATCAAACCCTTGAGTTAGTCGTGTGAGGAATTCCATTGCTAATTCGAGAACCCTTGTGAGGCTTTTTTGTGAGGATTCCAGATTCGTTTTACAAGTTTCTCATCAATCAAGTAATCACCTTGATTGTGGCGAAATTCTACCTATCCGTTTTATCTTTCGTTGAAGAGTTTTGGCTGCGTATTCTGATCAAACAAAGCACCCTCCCTGGTGCTTTATCATATTCGGGCCTAATTCCATATATTTTGCCCCCGGTTTGCTTAGATGTTTGGGCCAAATTCGCTCATTCGAGGTTGGTTTTACGCGAGGTTCTTCGTGTTTGAGTGCTTTTTAGGATTTAACAGGTGGAGCCAGCCTCAGAGTCGAAGGATTGGCGAAAAGGATAAAAAAACTGGGAGAAGAGGTGAAAAAACGCAAGTTCACGGCTAAAAGCAGGAGTTCATGGTCGCGCAAGACCGTGAAGAAGGAGAGTTGACCGTGAAGCGTAGGGCGTCTAGACCCAATTTGAAGGTTACTGACGCAAGGCGAGTTCACGTTCACAAAGACCGTGAACACAAGCAGTTTCCCGTGAACTGCCGTAATCGATGCGGAGCATTTTGGCCCAAGGCGTGAGTTCACATACTCATTTGAGAGTTCACGGCCATGAACTCAGGCCGTGAACTCAGCCCCTCTCGTGTTTAAAAGCTGAGCTGCAAGGAAAGAGAAAGGGAGAGCCACTTTTTGTGAGAGAAACATTTCTTCTGCATTTTAGTGAGAGAAACAGAACAAAGAAGAGAAGAAGGAGTTAGGGATTGGCTTCAAAGGAGGTTTTGGGAAGATTTCCATAAGGAAATCCCAGCTCAAGGTTGAAGAAGAGAGGAGTCGTCCCCACAAGATGGTTTTCACCATTTCCCCCTTTGTTCTTTCCACTTCTTCCATGGAGTAGTCCTTCTCCCACATGGGTGTAGTGAAACCCTAAACCCTATCATGTATTTTACTTGTATGTGGTTTGAATGATTGATATTGGGCATTGTTCAATTTAATGTTTGGGGTATTTTTCACCATGATTTTTCATTCTTGTGCTTAGCAACTTAGGGGTTGTGCATATGATGTGCTTAGCATCCTAGGGTTGTGCATATTTTGTGCTTATCATCCTAGGGTTTGTGCATAATTGTGCTTAGCACCCCTAAGTTTGTGCATTGAGGTGATAGAAATATAATTTGCCAACTTAGCCTAGTTTAGAGAGGAAAATCCCCCTTTTTAAGGGAGAATCAATAGAGTTGGTTTTCCTTCCACCCTCCAAGCCATCTAAACTAGGTTGAGTTAGAGCAATCCTCAATATTGAATTGAACAAGCCAATTAATTGTGGTTAAACCGTCCGACCTAGAGTTGAGTGAGGAAGTAAGTCGATTACCGATTTTCTAAACCGAGAGGGTCGAGTGACATGACCTTTCATCCTCACCTCGGTTTAGCAATGGAGACAGTGACCCCAGACCACATATGCTTTCCTCTGCGGTTCACGATTAGCGTGCCCAAGGCAATCATTCCAACCACGTAGCATTGTAGCGGTTTAGGGGGAAGTGAAACCCAAGAGACTTTCCCGTAAAAGAGTTTTCAAACCAAAAGTATTCTTTCATTTCAATTGGCAAACCTTTAAACCAAAGTTTTACCACTAGATAATGATTTCAAAAACCGAAGTAGGGGTAGACGGACCGACCCGGGTCGATATATAGATACTTTCCCTATACTACACCCGATTAGAGTTTAAAAAATTGGGCTCTAATTGGGGTTTAATTGTAGTGTAGATTCGAGCGAGTCAAGTTTTTGGCGCCGTTGCCGGGGACTACAGTATTTTATTCTGGAAAAGTTGTTGGTTGTTAATCTGGCTTTTAATTTCAAGTTTTGCAAGTGTGTGTGTTCTTTGCTTGTGCTAGACTTGGTGTTTTCCGATTGTGTGCAGGAGGTGCATGATCCGGAGCAACCCGACTCTCTGACTCCTCGGAAGCCCCGACTCTAATGGGGAGTTGTATGACCCCGCTTGAAGCAAAGTTAGATCAGTTGATCAAAGTGATGCTTGAGGATAAATGGCATGTAAGCGGGTAGCAACACCTATGGAGCGGAGTGAAAGGTGGAACCATGAGGATGTGGAGTGCTACCGAATGACCCGCCTTGAGGAGGAGGTGATGAACTTTGTCGCCTCCAGCTCCAAAAAGTTTGAAAGAATCGATAGATTCGTTAGAGAGGCAACAGAGAAGTTCTCAGCCATACAGTATAAGGGGGTATCTCGCAGGCGGCTTAGTCTTGGAAATTAGCCGACGAAGCCGATGTAGTGGCCATGACTCTTTGAAGTGGAAGAGAAGCTAGAGAGCTACCCACAAAGAAGAAATAGCTCGCTGTAGAAGAGCAAAAAGGGGCGGCAATATCCCCTTGAAGCCGGAAGCCACTAGTGACAGGGACCTTGACTCTACAACCCCTAAACCGACCTCTCAAGAAGAGGATGTCACTCCGAGCCCTCAACCGGAGCAAAAATAGACGAAAGAAACCCCAACTATCCCTTATCCTTCACGGCTGCGCAACAACCCCAGTTGCACTTGAACATCCCCTTCCCGGAGGCCGTCACCCAAATGCCCAAGTACGCCAAATACCTAAAAGACCTCCTCATCAACAAGAAGAAGCTTGAGAGGGTGGTTACTGTTAGCTTGAATGAGGAATTTTCCGCCCTCGGCAGAACCACTTGCCCCCGAAATGCAAAGATCCAGGGAGTTTCATTATCCCTTGCTTTATTGGTGACGCATGCATAGGAAAGTCCTTGGCGGACCTAGGAGCTAGCATTAATGTGATGCCCTAAAAGTTGTTTCAAAATTTAGAACTAGGAGAACTTAGAGCCACTAGGATGCACATTCAGTTGGCGGATAGGTCTGTAGTACGAATGAAAGGTGTTGTGGAGGACTTGCTCATTAAAGTAGGACCTCTCGTGTTTCTTGTGGACTTTGTTATCTTAGACATTGATGAGAAAGTTGACGCCCCCCTCCTTTTGGGAAGGACTTTCTTAGCCACCGCCAAGGCCTTGATTGATGTGCATGGAGGTAGGTTGGTACTTAGAGTAGGAGAGGAGGAGGTCACATTCTCCCTTGTCGATAGCATGAAGTCGTCTCGTTGCCATGATGATTTTGATTACTACAAGGAATTTTTTGACTTCATAGAGGCACTCGCGTCTGCGGGTTCCCTTTCTACTAACCCTTTTGAGGAGTGTTGCTTGGTAGGAACTGACGCCCCGGACTCCCCAGAGGATGATGGCTAACTCACGCAAGACCAAGAAGTGGAGGCAATGCCCTCGATGCCAAAAATCCCTACCTGTCTAGAGGAACCCCCTGAGTTGGAACAAAAACTGTTACCTCCCCACCTCGAGTATGTCTTTTTGAGAGATGATAGGAAGCTTCTAGTCATCATCAACGCCAATCTCATACCCGAGCAGAAGGTGAAATTGATTGAGGTCTTAAGGCGTCATCAGAGGCAATAGCTTGGAAGATCACAGATATCTGAGGAATTGGGCCCAACTTTTGCTCTCACAAGACTCAACTTTTCATTGGTTTTACGCGAGGTTCTTCGTGTTTGAGTGCTTTTCAGGATTTAACAGGTGGAACCAGCCTCGGAGTCGAAGGATTGACGAAAAGGATCAAAAACAAGGAGAAGAGGTGAAAAAACACAAGTTCACGGCTAAAGGAAGGAGTTCACGGTCGCGCAAGACCGTGAAGAAGGAGAAGGTTACTGACGCAAGGCGAGTTCACGCTTCACGGTGACTAAGACCGTGAACACAAGCAGTTTCCCGTGAACTACCGTGATCGATGCAGAGCGTTTTGGCGCAAGGCGTGAGTTCACGAACATAAGCAGGCCACTCAAACTTTGCTAGGAAGACCCTGACAATTCGACCATGGAGTCTGCCATTATGGTGGCACAAACCAATACAAGATTCGGCATCAAGGTTGTTGGTTCAATTGAATACAAACTGGAGTTTGATTCACAAGCTTGTTGCTTCGTGAGTTTGAGAGTGGTTTAGGGCGAGACCTAGACTGATTGAGTGCTTGTATCATTCACCTAACCCCGCTAATTGTGGCCAGGCTTCTACCTATAGTTTTCGAGCCTTTCTCCCTTGTGAGGATTGCAAGAAACATCCACCCTACACAAGAACACCAAGCCCTGTTTTTGTGTTCTCCATTAGCCGAATTCAATCTCTCTTGGTATTGGTATTGGAATCCATCCAACCCTTTTTGGGGTTTATTGACTCGCTATGACACAACTCCTAACAATGGCCAAGTGTAACCAATAAAAGGTATTGCAGTATAGTGGCTCAAGTAATAAATATCGAATCCATGGGTCTCTAGAGTTACTATTACTTAGCTTCAGTTCATTATCTAGCAAACCAGATTAAGATGGAAGAACTAAAACTACTCTAACAAACTACAGTTAAAGTTA